AATAAAATTTGTTGTAAACAAATCATAATTCCATGAAAATAAAATAAAAATAGTTCATGGGGAAAAGTATTCGGAGGGTTATTTCTTTTGCACAGCTTATCAAAAACAATATTATTCAAAGGAAAAGTTTAATTCTTCAAATATTAACGATATATTTGCTTTTGCGCACAGGCTGTAACACAATGATAAAGATTAAAATTTTTTGTTTTAATTCAGTAGTAAAACTTATTCAGCTTAGAAACCTTCATTTTGATTGTAAAAAAGCATTGAACATTGTTTTATTATTAATTTCTGTACACAAACGTATCTTTTCTTTTCCTCGTTCAAAAGGAAAGAGAAAAACATTTTTTTTTTCATTTTTCCATTTAAACAATTCTATTTTTTTCCAATTTAGAATAAAATACATTATGAGGAACGTAAAATTTAAACACATTTTTTGTAAACATCTCTTATTAGTAGCCGGATAACCATGATATATAAATGATAAAACTAAAATACTTCGTAATTATGTTAACTAAATAAAATGCTTCATATTCTTTTATTCTGTAATGAATATTATTTTTTAAGCATGCATGAAACACATATGCCTCATTTCAGGGAAAAGTAAATAGTAGTTTAAGTAAAAATGTTGTGTTAGGTAGGTTTTTCACATTAAAAAATCAATTAAATTGCATCAAAATAATAAATTATGAACATAAAAAATAGAAAATAAAAATATCTTTGATTCGTTCATTTACAAAATTCTGTTTTTTCGGTAAATAAAAGGTTATTTTACTATTATTAGTATATGAATTACCGCGATACCTAAACAATGTAACTGAAATATTTTATAATATTATGATGACAAATAAATGTTTAATTCTCTCTGTCTATAATAAATTTCATACATTTAACCTGCATAAAACATTGATTACACAATTTAAATATAAGAAAAACTTAATTAAAATACAAATGTTTAGTTAATTGCAATTTCTTTTCCTCAAACGAATGTCAACTAAGTAGCATTAAACTAAAAACATAGAATTAAATAAAAGTAGGAATACAAAATTTTTTGATTCCACCATTTGCAAAACTATTTTTTACACGACATAGAATATATATTTTTTTTACATTTTTAGTAACTGAATAAACATAATAAATAAAAATTTCAATAGAAATATATTGTAATTTAGCATCTAATTAAAATACTTGACTGCGCAAAATACTAAAGCCTCACATTGTAAAAATTACCTTATTAAAGTACGATAAAAAGTACAGGTACTCAGGTTGCCAGTACTTCTTACTGTAAAAACCACTTTTAACGGAACATGTTATGAAACAAAAATTCTGATATACCGTAAGTTTTACAGTAACAATTACCGTAAAGTCAATGGATTACTCTTATTTAATAAATATTACTGCAAAAAATTGCAGTATAATGTTTTGCGGTAAAAACGGATTTTACTGTAAAATGGATTTTACGAATGAAGCTTCCAAAGTTCCAATAATTAATAACGTATTTTAATCCGGAATTTCTTATAGTGCATTTTAAATACAAGAAAAGGCCTATTTAAGAAAACTAAACTAGTTAAGTATTTTTCTTTGAACAATTAATGCTCCTTTATTTAAAAGGAATATAACGCATTAATCAATATTTTAAAGGATTGCAATATTTAATAACTGCAATTATATACTAATTAAGGCATGTGATTTTTTCTTCCTGTTTCTGGGAAAACTTGTTTAAAGACTAAAACTCCTTCAGCGACTGCACATCAGCCGGTACTGACAAAGGAGTTAGTTCCTTTCAAGAACACCTGTTTTCCACTTCTTCTTAGCCAATTCGCGATTACCCAACAATATTTTCCACGGGGGCAGATTGTTTGCTTCAAAGAATTTCTGTGTTTTTTCTTTTTTGTAATTACAGACGTCAATATAGGCCTAAAGTAATTCGTAAGAAGGATTATTTAACTGCTTTTAAAAATATTTAGAGAATGTGAATTAATTTATAAAATAAGAAGGTGTATATTTAGTAATTAAAAAATGATAATAATATAAAGTACACGTAACTAAGAAGAATAGTTAACAGAATTTTGCTTAAATTAATTAACGGAAGATAGCAATACACATAAAACAATTTTTATTACGTAACATACACATTAAAAAAAATATTTACATCCATGCGAGTTTAACAAAATTAATTTTACTCTCAGTAAATTTTCTATTTTAGGCAGAAAGTCAATTATTTTTCAGTTTTTGCAGTAATTTTGCTTTTATTAATTAATTTGTAGCTTTTAATTTTGTAAGTCAATATATANATATATATATATATATAAAAACGAAATGGAACATTCTGATTGGTTAAACGTTAGCCATTGGATAGGACAGCTCCACTTTATCAAATATTGATCAGTGATCTTTGATAGCTTATAGCTCTATTTGATGAAAAAGGTCATTGCAAGTATTGCAACATTTATTTATTTTTCATTCATTATGTGAAGTAAATTTAATAAACTGCGTTAACGTGTGAGCATGAGAGGCAATACGTAATACTGATATTATGGTAATTGGTGCAGTTTTAATAAGAATACTATAAAGGAAGTTTTGGAAAACAGTTTTTGTAGTGGTAGTAATGATAATGCATTAATATTTCAATGAATTATAATTTAAAGTAATTTTCGACTGACAGTGATATTTTAAACAGTATACCTAAGGTCAGAAAAGGTCATAAAGTACTTATCAAGGTACTATAAGAATTTTACTTGTTTCTAAAATGTCGGCTTTAGTTTGCGGTAATGATGATTAATGTATTGCGCACAAAACTCATTTCTTTCTTATATTCAATTTGTATTCTTTTTCATTTTCTAAATAGCTTTCCTTTAGATAAGAAGAAATAGTTATAGTATCGATCATAATATGAATTTTGGTAAGAAAAATGGAGAAAAGGATATAAGTTAAAAAATTTCAAATGAAAGCAGTATTTGAAATCATTAAGATGAAAATAAAAATAACAGTTACTAAGTTATTACTTTTTTAAAGAAAAATATATAATAATGAATAAAGTTATGATAATGAACGTTATAGTTTTGCACGTTTTAGAATGTAATAATTTCATCTGTTGTTGTTACGCAAATTAACATGAATAACAAATTATTTATATTTTTATTGCTAGTTTTTAAAGTTAAAATAAATTCCAATTTGTGATTTTAACTAGAGTTTAAATAGTTCTATGCAAAATAGTTCAAAATTATAATAACATATTCTGGTAGAATATGAACTGAGAAGTTCATATGAATTTAATTCAGTGAATTTAAATTAGTTAATAATAATATTTAAATATTTATTCAGGATTAAATTAAAATGATTTAAAAATATTGTGATTATTATAATAAACTGTTAGACAATTAAATAAAATGGAAAGGGGATGAAATAATATTTTATTGAATTTGTGTAATTGTGTTTAAAAAGTAACAGGTTGCTCTTATTCCTTCGTAAAAGAATAAATATTATCTCTCGCTTTATTGTATTTCCTGCCAGTAGGTGGGCTACATCAACTCCTAGTAATCCTTCAAATTGTTCGTGTCTTAGATTGTTATTTGAAATTTACAATGATATTCGAAATTTAAGGATATTCAAATGAGCCAAAAAATAATAATTTCAATAATAATATTATGGTAATGATAAATAATAAAAAACTGTAATAATAATAATAATGAAAATTATAATAATAATTATTATTAAAAAAGTAATATAATAATGATAAATAGTTATGCTAATAAATTGTTATACTAATAAATTGTAATATTAGTAAGTTGTAATAATAATAATAATATTAATAATAATAATCTTGATGAATCATTTAAATAATCAAAGAAATTTAAGTACACCAATAATGTGTAGTCAAAAAAGATTACGGAAATTTTGGAGTTAAATCAACTTTAAACAAGTATTTTTTTTAGTTTGTGATGCAGCATATAAGAAAATAAAAATTCGAACAAAATATTTCGATAAAATATATTACTCTTAAGGCCAGTTAGGAAGAGACTCGATCTTGATTTTTAATTTTAATTAAAAATTCATAGGCAGCCACTGCATACTTTCTCCAATTTGTAATTTTTTTAAATTCGCTTTCTGCAATGTCTAATAAAATTAGTATCGAATACGCGATCAATACGTCTGGTAAGAAGTTTACTTAGTATATTACACTAGACATAAAAAGTGCTTCTTATTTTTCTATCGTAAGATTTTAGTGTTTTAGAGTGTTTGAATCTTACAGGAAAATCAAAGATGAAAATAAAACTATCCTTGAAAAGTAAGATAAAAAAATTATGAGTTATTTTATTAAAAATAATGAGTTTAAAGCAAAGACCATCATAAAAACAGTTCAGTTTTCATGCCATTTTTTTCAATTTTATTCAGAAGCTTTTACATACATCTTATATATTCTTTTTTCAAATTGTTAATATTAACAAAAAAAATCACTGAAATTAGCTTTTAAGTGTAAAGAGTTTTCAAAAAAATTTGAAAAAAATTATTTAATTTTGAAGAAAAATTATTACAAAAAACAGTAAATAATTCAAAATCAAAACAGATTCAAATTTGAACATAATCCAAACGTAAAGATCAAATAACACAGAATTTTTAACCTTAACCCTTTCAGAGATGTTTTTTTCTTTATCAATAAAAAAAAAAACAAATTACGAATTTAATAGATCAAATAAGGTGAACATAAATTTTTGTTTTGTTTTTGCAGAATATTGTTTATTGTTTGAGCAATGAAGGTGGTGAGAACATATATGTCCTACTGGTTATTTCAGATGGGACGCATATGTCCCAGTGGTGTTTTCTTCTGCGGGACTTATGAATCCCGAATGTATGTATTCATCTAATATTATACTCACTATTCAATGAATGAATAAATGAATAAAAATTTGATTTCTTCCGTCGAGTTTTAAGGAAATTTCACTTTAAAAAAAGAAAAAAAATCTATACAAACTTCCACTCGAGCAGTTTTATATTTTTACCTCATCGGAGTTTTTTCCAACCAGCAGTAGATCAAATGGAATGGCGGCCACCACGTCGATGATGAACCATCCCCGGAGATAGTGGACGGCGATTTTACACGGGTGGCCTTCGACTTCTTCATTCGAGTTGACGTAAGTGGTGCGAAAGTTGATGACGATATCGATGATGAACATGACGTCTACGATGAGGTCGATGTAGACAATGGGGCCATCATTGTCCAGTCGCTCCTCATTCAGCAAGAAGGCCGCGACGTATGGCGTGAAGATTGCTGTATATATGACGAGCAACAGGATAATCCAGTCCCAGACTGCTTTGAACGGTGAATAATGAAGGATGGTCCACTTGTGGACACGTGGTTTCTGAAGTTTGTATTCGGGCAACACATCAGCTCCCAAGGAGAGGACCTGAAATATGCAACAATGAAGTACGATTTCAAGAGGGGTACTTTTTTACACTTAACTTTTACTTTTTTGCATTTTAAAATCATTCACCACTTATATTCAAGTGGTTCATATAGTCTGTCCTCAAGTTACAAATTAATATGTAAATACAAATACTGGAAATAAGTGACACTAAGTGGTTACCTGATTAAGTGGTAATCAATCGAATTAAGTGGTCATTAGCAGAAACTCGCGTCAGTGTTAAATATTATAATATTACGTATTTTAATGAACACATTGATGTGATGGCTATATACAGTCCCTTTCCAAATTATTAAACGCTCTATAAGATTCTACGTAAAATCTTAATTATCAGGTGATACTATACAGCTTTATTGTTTCTACGCGACTGAAGCCGGTTTGTACATGTTTATGTTCGTGTATCAATTGTTTAAATTTGGGGACATATAATATAAATTCGACGATTGGATAAATTAGACGATATATTATATAAATATAGAACGTTTATTATATCAAGAATTCTATTATTATACTGCAATAGTTAGAACAAATTATTAAACACACTCTACTTTTTTAATAATGACATGTTTTGCACTAGTTTATATGCAATACTTTTTTTATTTAAACATAAATGTAATGGGTTTTTATTCAGGAGATTTTTTATATACTTCCTATTTGTATTTATTATTAACGTATTGCATTACAATGTTAACCATTATATACGCGAACGTAAACAAGCGCAAACCAGCTTCTGACGAGTAAAAACAATAAAGCTGTATATTATAACTTGATAATTAAGATTTTATATAGAATCTCATAGTGCGTCTAATAATTTGGAAATGGACTGGACTGTATAGCAGAAAACACAGTCGACTGCTGGACAAGTGATTTCTACTGTTCATATTTGGTGGAAAAGGCCATCTTAAAAATAGAGTTGGAAAAAATTTTTTGGACTTGCACCAAATGCGCATAGTTTTGGATACGCAATTGGTACTTGCACAGTGTGAAGAAAAACGAACTATCCTAAAAAAATTTTGACTTAATGATCGGATCTTCACGTATTAGGACTCAATTGCAATGGTTTCAGAGGAGGACTACAAATATGCTAATTAGTTAGTGCAGACGATATTTCAAGTTAAGAAATCAGACGGAAAAACGAACTTTTTTTTAATGCAAAAAACTTTTATTTTTCGTTAGATTCGGATTTTTGATCCCCAAAATACAGGGAGCAGGCTCAATTTGGAAAATAGGATCCCGATAGTTTGGTCAGGAGAGCAATCCAAAGTTTGGATTCTTTAAAGTTAGTTTTACTTTTTGCGTAGTTTGCATCTCCAGGATTTTAAGCGAATTGATAAATTTTTGCCCTCAATAAAATTTATTTATTGTATAAAATTTATTTATTAACCATAAGTTCATGCAAAAAAGGAATTAATAATTACTCATCATTTTTTTATTATTTAATAATAGCCGTAAAACATTTAAATAACAAGGATTACTGAATTACGCTTTAATAAAAAGACTTAAAGTATAAAATTTGGACGAATTCAGTCGAAAAGATAATGAGAAAACAAAATTAAAAGAAGTTGTATATTTTAAATTCGATTCCTCAGAACCAATTTTACCAATTTCATTCACGTTTTATGTTTTGACATGAATTTTACATTTTTATATTTTGACAAATTTTATATTTTGACATTAAAATACATTCTTTAAAAAGATGCAATAATTTTTAAACCTTATAATTCAAAATATTTCGGACTATTATTAAATAAAATAATAAGAAAAATAATTATTAAAAAGTTAGTTTTTGCATAAAATTACTTTTGCAGAAACGAATTTAAAATTGTGTGCAATCGTTTTTCAATTCGCTCAAAAATCTCCAGAGCTATGGGAAAATACGCAAAAAGTAAAATTGACATTAAGATATCATATTTCCCGGATTGCGGCGGTATTTTGGGGGTTTGTCATAAAAAACCGCCAAAAGAAAGGGCCAATTTGGCATTTGGGGTTAGAAATCCGAATGAACGGCATGTCTATTCAGAGTAAGTTTTTATGTCTAATTTCGTAATTTAAAATATCGTATGCACTAACAAGTTAGCATATGTGAGGTCACTCTCTCAAACCATTAAAATTCAATCCTAGTACTTGAAAACCCGATCACTAGATCAAAAGTTATTCAAGGTAGTTTGTTTTTCTCTTCATAGGTGCATCAAGAAGCATACGAAAAAAAATGCAAAATATTTTTTTTGCCACACTGATTAAAGCCCATTTTATTTTATTTCATAACGTTGAACAGCAGTCTCAATTTTTTGGGTTTGCGACTACAAATATCAACTCCGTAGCCTTGTAATTTTGAGCCTAATCCCGAAGACAAGGGAACTCCTGGATTGGGAGAAATTGGTCTTCGTGACATTTGATAGAACTAACCAGCATTTGCCTTACATGGAGAGGAAAACCACAAAAAACATCCACTGTTAGCCTGATGACAAGAGGACTCTAACCCATGATCTGCCTACCACTGAAGATATTTTATGTCAGCACTGTGGTCAGTGCAAGCTGGATGCGGAATTCGTATCGACCTACTATTGTTGGAATTCAAACCCGGTTCGGTTCCGTTGGAAGCCAAATGCTCTATCCCCTGAGCCAAAGCCCATTGGAATAAATCCAATGTGGATTTTTATGGCAATTTGGAAAGAAAAAAGAAGGATTTTATGAACAGTCCGTTTTAAACATCGAAAAATACGCCAATAAAAAAGTGTACATTTGACCAAATATTTATTAAAATTTGAAATATATTTTTTTTCCAAAGATTTATTGTTAAAATACGAATTTTTATTATAATTTTGTTGTGTGTTTTTCTTTCAAAATTTGCTTAGTATTCTTTGAACTAGACTTACATCTCACCTATAGGAAAGCAAATATTTTCTTTTTAATACAGAATAGTGTTTTTAAAAGAAACCATTCTAAGAGCTTTATTGTAGTTTAAATGCTATCTTTTATTTTTCTATCGTATCACTTCTTCCACATCTAAAGAGGGAAAAAACAGCAAGAGTGAGATTGAAGACACTTCTCCCATTGTCCATGAAGAGATGAATTAGTTGCTCTAAATTAGAAACCGAAGAGAGAAGAAGCAATTTCATGATTGAATGGATGGTTAGAAAAAGAATAGTATCCGTTAACAGTTGTAAAAGCCACCGTTTCTCTAAACACTCTTTCAATTATTAGCGAATTGTTTTAACATTTGTTTGAAGAAAAAAAATATAGTATCTAACGGAGAAATTGATGGTATTTCTTAACTATTTTATTAAAAAATCAATAAACATGTAAATCAAAAAAATATATACAAATTGTTTTGATTTTGAATTTCCAGCTCTTATTTGAATAGTACACTGAGCATGGTTAAAATTACCAGAATATGGTAAAATTTATTGCTTTTCTGGCTATATTAGCACCAAAATCATGGCAATTTTTACAGAGGGAGTTAGGTACTTTACTTACATCCCACTAGAGTAACAGAATGAGCTATCAACGACTGTCAGGATAAAACCTTCGAGGATGATCCGAAAAGATACTATAACAATTTTGATCCTCTGCAGAGGGGATGGCTCCTCCGATAGATCAATGATATTTGACAGTTTATATCTCTAATTGAACAAAATATACTTTTTTGCCCGCAATTTAGCATTTAATTGTATTTCATTCGCTATATCAGATAAATTGAATGAACCACGTTAACGTGTTAGCGGGAGAGGAAATACTTCATACTCATATTATGGTAATTGGCTTAGTTTTCACAAGTAGTTGTAGTTGCTTATTTTCGTCGTACTGGAGCTGAGCAATGAGGTGCAGGCGATGGTCTTGAGAAATCTCTGAGAATGATCCGAAGACACCCCATCACAATTTCGATCCTCTGCAGAGAGGTTGTCTCCCGGATTTGACAGCCTAGCGACCTGAGAGCGAATTCGAACACTTTGAGGTAGAACAGTTTAACGAAGACCGATACCGTGCACCCTCTGTCCCTACTCAAGCTGATCGAAGTTGTCATTCACCCGCTTACTGACCGCAGCCAGTGAGGTTTGACTATTCTACCGGGAACCATACCTTTACAATCAGTCCACAACAGATTCAATTGTTACCGAAGCGCTTTGATAATGATTTCAGTAAAATTAACAATAAGAAGTTTAATTTTGAATTCCAGGATTTACGATCGGAAACGGATACCACTTGAATCGTTTATATACATAACGTTTGTTGCTTGCTACCTAAATTATTATTTTTATTAACAGAAATGAGTTTACCATAGAGTATAGTAATTTTAATAGTTTTTTTCTAAGTTTAGTAAGGACTGTCTCTTACTTCTTTTAGCTTTCATTGACAACTCTGACGCAAAATATCAACATTAAGACACGGATCACAGTTTTTCTGTCTATCAAACGATGTTTTGAAACCTATTTATGTTAATAAAAATTATAGGTAATTGTTATAATTGTGGTAAGCTGTTGGATGTTTTAAAAAAACTGAATGCTGTTCAGCTTCACTCAAAAGAGCTTTCAAGAAGAAATATCGTGTCCTTATTTTTGACTCTTGTCTTCTGAGTAGGAATCAAACGCGAGGTTGAATAGAGTAACGTATTTAATTTAAGCCTACTTTACTAGATTGTCAAGATTGTTTACTGATGATAAAAAAAACTAATAAAGTTACTCATTATATGAAGATCTTTTTCAAATAATGAATTCCTTCATTGAGAAGAAAATAAATAAGCCAAACTTCCATACAAATGATTTCCATCTTATTTTAAAACTCGCTCAAGATCACTTTATTTCTTATATAATAGAGCACACCAAAAATAAAATAAAATCATCAAATGTAACACACCAGAAATCAAATAAGATAGAAAAAATATGCATATTAGATTTTAAGACCCTGTATATTAAAATCTAAAACAATGAAGTTCTCCAACTATTCATATATGACCATATAGTCCAAATAAGGTGTATGATTTA